CTCCAACTTCACTAAATCAGAGCAGACTGGAATGTCCCTATTCCTCCAGTTCTTTGTGTTCTACCTGTCTCCCTACACTGGCCTCTACTTCCTCAGGAGGCTAAGTAAATTTGGTGTGTCCACAAAGACTCTCCTCCAATTTTTATAGATGCACCATAGAAAGCAACCTATGTGAATGTGCTGCAGTGTGGTTTGACTGTTCTCAATGCCATAAGAAATTACAGAGAGCTGTGAACACAGCCCAGTCCATCATGCAAACCAGCCTTCTATCCACTGGCTCTGTGTTTAGTACCTTGCCTCAGGCAAGCAATCAACATAATCAAAGACCCCCCTCACTCCGTTTATACTTTCTTCCACCCTCTTCCAACATGTAAAGTTATAAAAGATATAGGCTTCCGAATAGACCTCTCAAATTTTAAATTTAATGTTAATCTTGCTCTCCATGCAACTTCTCTGCAGCCATAATGTTGTATTCCTCACTCTGTTCTATTACTCTAATGCGCTTTGTATGGAATGATCTGCCTGTACTGCACACAAAATGAAATGTTTCACTGTACCTAGGTACATGTGACAATAATATATCAAATCAAGTCTTTCGGTTCTATGACTTCTGGCTACATCAACTTCACCTTTAAGCTCCACCTAAGATTGAGGATTTTGGTCACACTTTCTGATCTCGCTTCAGCTCAAAAACCATCACTTTGTGCCTTTACTCCTGTGTGAAGCACCTTTGAGATTTGTTTTTTACCCTGAAACTTCTTTGAAACTACCGAACATGAGTAGTGTGGTTGATATGGACTTTCAAAAGACGATTGACAAGATGTCAGCAAAGTTCGTGCCTGTTCAATGAAAGAGAAAGTTGGCAACCTGAACACAAGTCTGACTCAGAAGCAGAGAATAGAGCTGAACAGCTGCTTTTCAGATTGATGGGATGCATATAGTGGCGTCCATGAAGGATCAGTGCTCATTTCTGACACTTATCAGTACTTGAGTACACAAGGCAAAAGTTTCACAGATGGCATGAGACTCAGAAATGTGGTAAACAGTAAGGAGATTAAAAACAGACTTCCGGAGGACCATAACTAAATGGACACAAACATGTGACAGACAAAAAAATGAAGAGGAGTACAGCTGGTGGAGAAGTAAAGTGAGAGGAAGCATGATACAATTCTGAAGGGGATTCAGGGAGCGAACTAATTAATGCAAGTGACAGGATAAGCTGGGAAGGCTGGTTAAAAGTACACAGGGTACGAGGAGTAGCTAAGGAGAGAAGATTCTGACAGGTAGTCAGCGTCATCTAAACAGAGAAGTTTCTGAGGGCTTGAAGACTGCCCATGAGGGGAAAATACCAGATTTTCTGCTATTTGAATTGTAATAGATAGTTACTGGTTGACAGGTCAGCTTGGCTAAGTGGAGTGTGTGCCCTGTGGTGTGTGTGAAGTCATGGATGCACTATATGTTCCAGAAAGGCAAATCTGCAGTAAGTGACTCCACTTGCACAAGCTTGGTTCTGAGTTTTGGAACTTGAACAGTGGCTCGAGACATCGTTGTGAATCCACAAGGCAGAGAACAATGTGAACAGCACATTCCGGAAGGTGGTCATACTGCAGGTTAAATGTGTACTTGCATCAAAGGAATGGAGACTGCCGGGCAGTCTAAGAGAACTAGGCTGGCAGTGCAGGAACCCCCTGAGTCTATCCTAATTGGTGTTCCATTTTGGATACTGGTGAGGACGATGGTTCCTCAGGAGAGTGCAGCCAGAAAACAAGTTAATGGCAACACAGGTGGCTCAGCTATACAGCAGAGGGATGAAGGATTTAACAGCAGTTTTGTTTATTCATTCATGGAATATAGGCTTTGCTGGCTGGGATAGTATTTAAGGCCTGTCCTTAATTTTCCTTGAGCTGCCTCTTGAACTGTTGCAGCCCCTTTCATGTAGTCACACCCTAATGCTGTTAAGGGATAGAGTTCCAGGAGTTTGACCCAGTGACAGTGAAGAGGAGTGCTGATATATTTGCTATTCAGGATGCTGAGTGGCTTGGAGAATGATTTCCAGGTGGTGGAGTTAGTTGCTGAAGGACTCCTAAATGCTGACCTGCCCTTGCAGCCACAGTATTTATATGGTTGGTCCAGTTCAGTTTCTGGTTATTAGTAAACTCCAGGGATCAGTGAGGGTTGTGCTATTGAAAGTGAAGGGGCAATCGTTAAGATTGTCTCTTGTCGGAAAATGGCATTGCCTGGTACTTGTGTGACCTGAGTGTTACTTACCTGTTTTCAGCCTGAGCTGGATATTGTCCAGGTCTTGCTAGATTTAGATTGCTTTACCATCTGAGAAGTCGTCAATGTTGCTGAACATTGCACAATCACCAGTGAACATCCCAGCTTCTGACTTTTTGTTGGAGGGAAGCAATCAGGGATTCCATCCTTAGCCGATCAGATAAGTGTTTCTGCAGTCATCAATGTTGCAAGTTGCCTCCCTGGGGCCACAGTAAAAAGTGTTTAGGAGTAGCATGAGGACATTCATCTGGGGTAAAGTGATCAGCCAGAGATTGTTGGTCTACCTTGGTACCAATGACTTGGGTAGGAATGAGAATGAAATCCTGAAAGAAGATTTCAGGGAGCTAGTTTGGAGATAGAAAGCAGAACTTCTGAAGCAGTAGTCTCAGGATTATTCCCAGTCCCATGTGTTAGTGGCCACAGAAATAGGAGTATAGCTGAAAAAGCTGGAGTAGGAGGGTGGGCATCAGATTTCTGGTGCATTGGAACCAGTTCTGGGGAAGATAGGACCTGCAGAAGCCATATGCCAGAACAGTATTGGGATTAATATCTGTGCAGCTAGATTTATTGGTCCTATTGGGAAGGTACAATCTAGATTGGCAGGCAGATTAATCCAGAGGGCAAATTCAGAATAGGGAACGTGAAACAGAAAATTAACAAGTAATTCAAAGACAGGAAGCAGTGGTTAAAAATGTACAAGACAGAAAATTTGCAGTGTTAAAAGGTATGCATGGAAACGCAAGGAGTAGAGCGAATAAAGCTGATAAGCTGAAGGTATAGATAAACACATGGTGGTGTGATATTATTGCTATGACAGAAACTCTGTTTAAAGAGGGACACAGACTGCAGCATCCCTGGACAGAGAGTTGTCAAGCACAATGGAGAAGGGGATTAAAAAAAAATGTGGGGGCAGCATTACTGGTGAAAGAATCAATCACAGCCAGGAGCAGGGATTTATACTAACTGAAGAATTAAATGAGCCACTGATGTATGTGTACTATAGACACAAAATATGGGAGGCATTATTGGGGGGGTTGAGAAATTGGCTGGGTCAAAAGTGGGAAAGTGAATTCATTCTGGTGAAACACAAGGTTATACGTTTGGGAAGGCAAACAAAATTAAGGAATACATTGGAGGGTTATTGAGAGGAATAAAGGAAGTGAGAGACCTTGAAATACTTACCCACAGTTCGTGAAAGGTTGCAGAACAGGTAGATGGTAAAGGCAGCATGTGGGATACTTTCATTAACTGGGTGAAGTACTGACTGCAAAAGCAGGGATGTAACACTAGAACTATATAAGACACAGACTAAGTCACGGCTGGACTTTTGCATTCGGTTCTGGTCGCCACATAATGATAGCTAGGATATAATTCCTCTGTAGACCACAGAGGAAGATTGGATAGGCTCGGGTTGGTTTCCTTAGAACAGAGGAGGCTGAGGGATGACTTAAATCAGCGTGTAAAAATTAATTTTGATAAAGTGGACAGGGAAGACCTGAGAGATCAGTTACTAGGGAAATCAGGTTTAAGAAGTGATTGGTTGAAGTCTAACAGGATAGTAAGTAAAACATTTTTACTGACAGTGGTGGGTGTCTGAAATTTCCATTTTGGTGCTGTGCGGTTGGGGGGTGCAACGCTCATTTTAAAGCAACCTGGATTTGCACTTGAAGGCCTGTAACCTGCAATGCTACAGGCCTGGTAATGGTAAATGAGATTAGGTGGGTGGGTAGTGTATTCAGCGATTCCGGACACGGTGGGGCAGACGAGCCTCTTTCTGTGCTGTTGGTTTTATATGACATTTTAACTTTTCGATGAATAAAGAAACCGGGTACAAAGGGGAAGTTAAGTTAAAGCTTTGTGGAGCATTAAATTGGGCCTCAGCTGGAAGTCTGTCATCCAGTTCTGGGCAGCCACTACTTAAGGAAGGAAAGGGTCTAGAGAAAGTGCTCCATGGACAGAGCTGCAGTTGTGCTAAGACTGCCAGAGATTTGACACAGCTAACTTCATGCTCCTTTAGAGGAGAAATCATAGCAGAGGATGGAGACTGGAGGTCAGCAGCAGCCATTTATGATAGAGCCAGCCGTATTGAGCAACACCTCAATTTGGAAATTCGTAAACAAAACAAAGAACTGCGGATGCCGGAAATCAAACAAAAGCAGAAATACTGGAGACACTCAGCAGCGCCGGCAGCATCTTTAGAGGCAGAAACACAGTTAACGTTTCGGGTCCTGGTCTGTACACCAGTCACTGGACTTGGACTATTAACTCTGCTTTCTCTCCACAGATACCGCCAGACTTGCTAAGTTTCTCTAGCAATGTGTTTTGGTTTTGAAAATGTTTACCCTTGTGCTCAAAACCCTCTATGGTCTCATGCCTTCCTGTTTCTGTAACTTCCTCTTGCCCTATAATCTTGATGAGAATCCCAGCTTTTGATCATTGCTCTGGTAGCTCCAAGGTCTAAAATTCCCACACTTCATTCACAACACACCTCCCCCACCCCGCCCAACACCCTAAGACACCCCTATAAGCCTACTTCTCTCTGTTGTAATAACTCAGGTGTGTGGCTCAGCATCAAATAGCAATTACCACTGTCTCAGCATGTCAAAGATGTGACAGACATGTAAGTTTTTGCTGTTGCATGTATGTTGTGCACGTCCCAGGGTGTTTGGGTGAAGATTTTATAGCAATTGCTTGTGACTTTTTCAACAAAAAATAATTGCAAGTAGGACAAAGAACAGTTTTTTTATTATTTCAAAAAAAAGTCACACAAGTAACAAAATAGTGGGGGAGAGAAAATAATAATAAACACCCAATCAGTATCTCCTGCAGAATTAACTCCCCTTACAAAGGCTGGGAGAGTGTTGGGGGCACATCCTTTCAGAGCCTGTATTATCACACGCCTCAGCAAGTTGTCTTTAAACAGATTTGAGGAAACAGTGTGAGTTCAAGGCATGAACTTGTGGTCAGAATGGATTAAATTGTAACAAAGCCAGAAACCCACAGGCTGTCATTTGTGCTAGTTCAAAAGTTACCAATCTCAGGGGCATATCAACTTACACCTCAATAGAAAAAGATGACCCTTGGCATCATTTATCCCAGACCTGTTTCCTTGGTTCTTTGCCTTTTTTTAAGAAAAATCAGCACCCTTAAAAGAGTTTCTCCTCTACAAAGGCAGTGTGTACTTTCGTTTAATTCTAAAATTTATAAATGGCGAGGAAATTTGGAACCAGGCTGCACAGTGAAGGTGAGGATCAGGGCAGTCTTAGCAAATTGGTCTTTGCCCGTTCAGCTTCCTGTTCCCCCGACTATAAACATGGTGGAAATCCCAATGTAAAGATTCACCAAGGCCTTTGAACTTGTTGTACCTGTGGACTCCATGTGTGCCCAGTCTGAAATCCCATCTCCTCTGCATCCACAACCCTAGATAGCATGGGTTAGTGGGCTTTTCAACCTTGGGTGCCCTCACCTGTCGTGCACTTGCCAGCAGTGAAGATCACGAACAGGGAAATGGGTGGAGGGGATTGCTTTACCCACCTTCTAATCCAGTGTTGAATTCCCTTCCCCTTAGCATCGCCCTTGTCCATTCTAACCCAGTCCAAACTATCCATCCTGTCCTGGCTACACAGTAAACCTGCTGATTTGGAAGCGGCGTGAGCCTGCACTCCTGTAGACAAATCAACACCCAAATAACCAGGCCTCGCAACAACTGTCACCCAATTACTGGCTTCATAAACCAAGGGATGCCAGTACTGGAGTCTCCGAGAATTGAAGATTAATCTCGATGGCACTGTCTAGAATATCACAGGAGGGCAAAAGTTTTTTTGAAAGAAAAACCTAAGGTGTTCGAGGCAAACCTTTGGAAATAGGTTGCAGGGCGAAGGTGAAGATCAGATTAGTATTTGATTGTTTATCTTCAAGGCAGACAACCTTTGAGCCTGCAATCTCGTTTCCTGCCACCTGATCATTTTCGGAGCAGGACTCCTCTGCTTTGACTGAAGATTTCCAACTACATGGTACTTTTTTGTTCCACAGTTTAAAAAAAAAATCAGAGTAACTCCCACCACCACCATAAACCTTAATGCAATAAAGAAAAGACCCACTCGCAATACCTTAGATAAAGAAAAAGGGTTTCAAACAGTTTTGCTTGTCCAAGGTTTTCTCTGTTGGGTGGCTCACAGGGAGATGAATCTCTAATTCCTTGGAGACTCCAATGGTAATTCTGTACGATTTGGCAACCCTCCCCAAGGAAGGTCAAGCTAGCATCCTGCAGCAGCAGTGTTGGCAGAACCCAATCATCGAGGCCTCACCAGCTACCAGCACACTGGTGGATGTAGCATCTCTTGTAACCCTACCTGTGCCCAACCAAAAAGAAACCCATCCCAGTATAGTTTAAAAAAATAAGTTGGCTCAATAACATATCATCTGTAAATTTCCATAAGAATACTCTCAATCCCAATTAACCCCTTCCCTACCTCACTTCCCCCACACAAATTCACTTAGCTCCTTCTTTCCACCCAAGACCCAATCAATTTGGTTTGCTTTTGCCAATACCAAGTTGTATGTGTGGGTGGGAGAGGTGGGATAAAAATATATAGTGATTTCCCTCCCCTTCCCCTCTCTTATTTGATGCATGCTGCCTGTCAGCAGAACCCACAGAAAAATAGTTCCATTTAAATCCAGAGGGATTATTGTAAAACATACAAACATCTTGTGTTTAATGAGATCATAGCAAGTCAATCACAGCTTCATTGAGAAAAAAAAGTCACATATAACAAACATCCCAGGTCTAGAAATAGATGCTGTATAAGATATATAGATGTGTATTTAAACTTATTTACAACTGCTGCCATTCCCTTCTGCCTCAGCCCCAACCCAGGATTGTCAAAGGGACGGATGGAAGTCTTTCTGCGAGGTGGGTGGGTAGTAACATTCCCCCAATTTAAATGGACAATTTTTTTAAAAATATAGAAATTGCTCAAAATACACAAAGTGTAAATGGGGAAAGCACACTCTCTGCCCATATATATATATTATATATATATAAATTTGTGAAATAAAAATAAAAATTGTAGTGAGTGCCCTTTGTCACCCAGCCACTCAGATGGAGGTCAGAATGAGGATTATCACTTTAAGCACCCATGGGTGATGAAAGGACTTTCTCTCAATGTCGGGGGAGGGGGGGATGCTTCACATTAGGGAGGCCAGCTGGAGTCTGAGCAAAGGACCCCAGGCAGCTGTCTGATTTTTGTATGTCATTCACATTCAATGGTGTCACATTATACACTGGCACTGTCCCATGATTTTCCAACCAGGTGCCCAACTGCCCAAAAATATCCTGACTGATAAAACATTGGCTCCTGCAATATCCAGTGTGTCTTTCCTTAAACCTTCTTGTTGACAGACTGTTTCCGTTTTGGAGAGGTGAAGTGACCATAAGGGTGAGGGCTGAACCTCCTGCACTGATGTCAGTGTCAAGGACATCAGGCTTTGGTTTAGCTGGGTGCAGTGGGGCAGAGAATAATTCAGGTCAAAATGTACTGCTGTCCTCAGCACCTTCCTTTAGGTACATTTTAGTTTTTACTCCCTCCCCCCAATTATGTTTTGCCTGGGTTGGGTGTAGAACATGTCAGGGGGTGGGGTTCAGGGAAGAAAAACAGAGAGGGAAATATATAGAAGGAAATTTGGGTGGACTCCCTCTCTGCCCCAGGATAGCAGCTCACTACACAAGTATTCAAACACCCTTCTCTCCCAAGGGCTGAAATTGTTCCACCTTCGTGGATTCTGAGCATACAAAATGATAGTAACACCATCTATCACTCCTTGCAAGAGGCTACCCCATGCCATGTTACTTGTGATAGTGTGTGGAGTTCAAGCTTATTTTATGTGGTTCTGACTCCAGATTAACGACAGGTTTCGGGGAAGTGGGGTAAGAGGACAGAGTGAGCAGGGGTTAATTCAGTACTGGTCATCAATGACGACTCTTCAAAGACACTGCAGTTGAGTGAATCAGACAAAGGCAGCCCCTAACTAGGCGAGTCAACCACTAAACCCCAAAGCCAATGTCCATTTTCAACGAGTAAGACCCTCAGCTTGTATTTGTCGGTCTCTGGGACACAGCCCACCCCTGCCCTCCCTCTCACTCCATTCAGGAGGTCAGTCCAAAACCATCCCTGTCAGATTCCTTTCCTCCAGCAAGAGGACACTGGAGTCAAAAATCGAGGTGGGTTCTAAACCCCACTGTCAGCAGTCTAATCCCCAAAGTTTGAAAACTCACCCCACTAAATCAAGAAGGGGAGATTTACAGTAGTTATAACCCTCCCCAGTCAGCAGTCTAATTGCCCAAGCTTGAAAACCTTTCCAAATCGTGAAGGGGACAGATTTACAACTAGTTCTGACCCCACCCTCACCCCAGCCAGCAGTCTAATCTCCCAAACGTGAAACCCACACCACCCCCTCACCAAATCGAGAAGGGGACAGACTGACATTAGCATAACCCCCCCCCCCCCCCCAGTGAGCAGCCTAATCTTGCAAATTGGAAAACCTTCCCTTCCCCATCAAATCGAGGAAAGGGACAGATTCACAACTAGTTGAAGCCCCCACCCCCCGGTCAGCAGCAGTCTGGCTTCCCAAAGTTGGCAAACCTTCCTCATCTTACTGAATCAAAGGGAAAGTGGTGGTGAGGGGGGGGGGGCGCAGATTTACAACTCGTTCAAACACTCCTCCCCTCCCCATTCCTAACAGACGGCAGTCTGATATCCCAGGGTTGAAACACCAACAACACCCACCCCCCAAACAACTCCAGCTTTGACATCTCCCTGACAGAGACAGGGATGGGGCTATGAAGGAAGCGGGTATTTTGGGGAAGAGGCAGAGAAGGGCTGGGGGGGGGGGGAAAAAGGGGGGTTTTTTTTTTGGGTGGGTGTGCTAACTCCAGGTGGGGTCGTATCCGGTCCAGTCTTGGGGCGGCGCCAGGTAGACGCGGCGGCCTCGGTACATGAAGCTGACGACGCCGCGGTAGCCGGCGCGGGGCACGCCCGACTTGAGGTCGTCCATGACGCCGAGCGCCTTGGCGAAGGCCTTGAAGGTGTCCCGGGACGAGTACTGCACCCGCACCCGGCGCAGCTCGGTGCGCTCGCCCCGCTGCAGCTCGTCGACCCGCACGGCCGGAGAGCCGTACACCTGCCGGGCGAAGGCCGGGTCGTACAGCTCCCGGCTGAGGTAGGACAGGTCGAGGCGGCGGAAAGGCACGAAGCGGTCGTTGAGCTTGATGAAGCGCAGGTGCTGGTCGAAGAACTGGCCGTTGCTGACCCCGCGCCGGCCGAAGGTCACCGTGCGCGAGACCTCGGGCCGCACGCATGCGCGCCCGCGCCGCTGCTCCGGCCCGCGCATCCAGTCGTCCCAGAAGGCGTCGGGCCACTTGGGTTCCAGCTCCTCCCAGGTATCGCTCAGCAGCATCCAGCCCAGGCCCGGGAAGAAGTCGGTGCGGTACAGCGCCTCGGGCCTCCCGGACTCCACCATCTGCTCCTTGCCGTTGTCGTGCCACGCCGAGGCGCACCACAGGCTCGGGTCGCGGCGCAGCAGCGGCAGCAGCGCCCGGAAGTACTCGAAGAAGTCGGGCGCCACCTCCAGGTCGTCCTCCACCACGACGGCGGCCCGGTACCGGAAGTTGCGGAAGACCTGGTTGAGCGCCCAGCGGTAGTGACGCGAGATCTTGTAGTAGCCGCGGAACTTGCGGTGCTCGGGCGGCACGCGCGGCTCTGACATGTCCGGCTGGCGCAGGTGCACGAGCTGGTCGCCGTACGACGCGATGACGCGCGCCGTCTCCTCGTGGCCGCAGTCCTGGCTCACGAGCACCGGGAAAAGTTCCTTGGAGGGACGGTACTGCAGCAGCTTGTCCAGGCACCGCCGGATGGTGGGCCGGTCGCAGCCGATCACCAGCACCGGCAGCACCTCCTCCGCCGCGTCCTGCGCCTCGCTGCCCCCCGGGAGGGAGGAACGGGCGGCAGTGGGAGCCTTAGCCCGCCCCCGCCACAGGCCCCGGTGCCGCTGGATCTGCTGCAGCAGCCGCTTCTGGTTCTCCAGCTCGGCCTCCACCTCCTCGGCCACCCGCACCACCTCGCGGGTCAGCTGCTCCGGGTCGGTGTCCCCTGCTCCCCCTCCTCCTCCGGACGGCGGCGGCCGGCCCAGCAGGAAGAAGAGCAGGAGCAGGTTCCAGCCGATGAAGAGCAGCACCCCCCAGACGATCACGTTGGTCCGCCGCACCATGTCTCTCTCTCTCTGTCTGCCTTCCCAGCGTTGCTGCTCGCCTCCTCTTCTTCCCCCACCCCCCTCCCCCCCAGAACCCCGGCTCTGTCAGTCCAACTCCATCAACCTGCAGCAAGGGGTAGGGGAGGGGGAAAAGATAAAAGAAATACAGAACGCTCGGGGTCAGACATGGCAGAACAAAAATCAATACCAGAAGTTCATGCACAAATTAAACCAGGTTTTAAACACGATCTGGAATGACAAAGGGAGAGGGAGACAGACAGATACAGAAACATACCCAGTGAGAGAGGAGCCAGACATGGAAACGTTTTGGAGTTTGTATGAAAGAGTTACACGCTGACATTATGGAGTTTGAGAGAGACTCATGTTGACATTTTGGAGTTATACACATACATTTATGGAATGTTGTGTACAATCTGCCTGCTGCATTTTCCTCATTAGTATAGTGGCTTCAATCTAAAAGCTACTTTTTGATAATAGCAGGGCCCTGGGTAGTGTTGTAGAACAGAGAGACCTAGGAGGTTCAGGTACGTAATTCCTTGAAATTTGTGTCACAGTTAGAGTGGTTAGGATGTTTAAGCGCACTTGCCTTCATTGCTCAGACAATTGAGCACAAGAGTTGGGACATCATGTTGAGGTTGTACAGGACATTGTGGAGGCCTCTTCTGGAGTACTGTGTGCAGTTCTGGACGCTCTGCTATAGTAAGGATATTATTAAACTGGAGAGGATTCAGAAAAGATTTACCAGAATGTTGCCAGAAATGGAGAGTTTGAGTTTCTCAAAAATAGGCTGGGAATTTTTTCAGTAGAGTTTAAGTGATGGAAGGGTGACCTTACAGAGGTTTATAAAATCCTGAGTGGCATAGATAATGTGAATAGCAAGGGTCTTTTCCCTAGGTTGGGGAAAGTTCAAAACTAGGGATGATTTTTTTAAGGTAAGAGGAGAAAGTTTTAAAAAGGACCCGAGGGGCAAAGTTTTCACACAGATAGTGGTTCATGTGTGGAATGAACTGCCACAGGAAGAGGTGAATGCAGGTACAGTTACAACATTTAAAAGACATTTGGACAAGTATGTGAAAAGGAAGGGTTTGGCGGGATATGGGCCAAACGCAGGCAAGTAAGACTAGTTTAATTTGGGAACATGGTCAGCACGAACTAGTTGCAAAGGGTCTCTTTCTGTGCTGTATGACTCCTAATACGTTTTGGAACATCCTTTTGTTTGGAAAAGCACTATACAAATGCAAGCTCCTTTTTTATTTGAAACTCCCATGTCAAGAAACTGCTATTTGCGTCTGATAATTGTTGTCAGATGCTGGAGATTCTACAAGACCCATGGATAACCTACTACCATTACATAGGCTTCAGCAGCGTATGTTTACAGCAGAATACAGCTTTGTCTATAAAAAGGGCCCTTTTGTGTCCCTACCCCTGGAACTGAGGGGCTTGGGTTCAAGTCCCACCTGCTCCAGAGATGTGCAATAGCATGTCTGAACAGGTTGATTAGAAAAATAGGTTAAAAATTAACTCGAAAAACAAAAGGGCTATTCAATCCAACATGCTGTTCTAGCTCTTTGGAAGAACTATCCAATGAGTTCATTTGCCCTGCCCTTTATTGGCTAGCCTTGTAATTTCTTTCCCTCTAAGTATTTACCGAATTCTGTTTTGAAAGAGATTATCAAATCTTTCTCTATCACACTTTCATGCAGCACATTCGAGATAGAGTTACTATCTCTCACCTCCTCTTTGGTTTTGAATGTTTTGGCAATGGTTTTAACTCTTGACTGATCCAACTATCACCACTATAAACAGCTTCTATTTATACAGTGCCTTTAAAGTAATGAAATCTTCCAAGGTGCTTCACAGGCATGTTTTTTTTTTAAACATTACATGATTACGTGAACCACAATTTCAGGTCCAAAGCGAGAGAAGCGTGTCATTGTCCAATTTGGCTAGAATACAATTTTCTTAGTGCTAAGAGACGCGATGCTGTGGACATGCAAAAGGAATTTAAGTATCTGTCCACAAAGATTACTAGAAGCTAGTACAAAGTCATCCAAAATGCCAACGCAAAATGTTCGCCTTTATCTGAAATGGGGATTGGAATAAAAGGGAAGGGAAGGGACAGAAGCTGTGTTCCAGTTGTAGACAGCACATTGTGTGGAGTACTGTGTTCAGTTCTGGGCACTAAAACTCCCAAAAAAATGCAATTGCTGGGTGGGGGAACATAAGATTTTTTTAGATAACATGGAGTTTAATCATAAGAGAAATGGGAAAGACTTTTCAAATAAAGGATAGTGGAAATTTCTAACTCCCTCTCCCTCAAAAAAAATTCTGGATTCTGGGTCACAAAGTCTCAAGACTGCAAAGGCAGATAGTTGTTGTTGGGATACAGGCAGTCTCTGATCTAACCAAATGGCAGGAAAGCTTTCAGAGCTAAGTGCCCTCTTCCTTTTCATGTGGCTCTGAATAATGCCCAGAACCTTTCACTCTGTATCTAACCTGCACTGTATGTGCTTTGAGTTTGTTTTGATGGGACAGCTCAGAGGGAGCTTTATGCTTTTCCTAGTTTTTGATGGGACAAGTGTAAAGGGAGTTTTACTAACCCAAGTTGTTCATGGTCTGATGGGATATTTTCACTATGTAGCTAACCTGAGTTATACCTAATCCTGGAGTTTGATGGGACAGTGAAACTGGAAACTTTACTCTGTATCAAACCTGGGATGCCCATACAAGATATGCCAACAGTAATGACGGAACTCTCACACAATGTAAACAAGAGCAAATACAGTAACAGGGTTAGTCTGTCTCAACAAGAATCCAACAGATTAACTGCTGGACTAAGTTGCAGTCAGTGTGCAAGAGAAGAGGACAGTTAAATCAGAGCATGTTACACAAATGTAAATAGTGGTGACAGGGTTAAAAATGGGTGGTCTAGACTCTCTGTTGAAGAGCAGCATTGGGTTAATATAAACAAGTAATTGAGAGAATGGGTTTAGAAAGGGTTAATGAGGACACTCTAGTCTCAGTGTACATTGCATGACTGTGTCAATAGATGAGAGAGTGGAGGAAGTCAGTGTATGCCAATATCACACCCTGGCTCTAATTCACGTAATCAGTTACTTTTGTGAATGACAATAAGTTTGTATCTGTTGGTTCTTCTGATAATTACATTTGCAAGGCAGCCTCTTTTCCAACAGCAAGGCAACAAATTAAAAAAGGGTTGGCATCCAAATATTACATAATTCGGGGAACATTGTGTACATGAGGACCAGGGGAGTAGAGGAGGATGGGAATGAAATCTGGAGAATCAGTTTCAGTAAATATACAGAAACGTTTTCTGCAAACAACACTTTCTCTGCCTCATCTTTGATTCTTTTGCTATTAAGGCCCATAGCTCGAGAATTAACACCATCCTCCACCATACACAAACCCACACCTTCTGCACTTTTATCTCTGATAACACAAAATGAGAGTGGAAGTGGGCTCATTTTGACCTGTTTTACATGGATGACGAGATCAGATAAGGAACAGTTGTGGTAAACTGATTGCAAGTCAGGAAGTCAGTGCAGGAACTCGCTAAGATATCAGGCAGCAGCAATCACCAAGGCTTCCTTCCCTGTTCCCTCTGGCCTCCCTTACACACCAGTAGTCATGCCTCTCTGACCCCACCCACCAACACATCTGACTGCCCACTGTCAGATCCCATCTAACACCAAACCCATCACTGACCTGGACCTCAAACAGAACCTGCCAGCCCAGAATATCCTCTCACCCAGTCAGGCATTGGAGTTTTTCACACAACCTCTGCTTAATGCTGGGAACATTGATCTCCAGCTCCCTGTAAGGATCATTCCAGTGCATCCTCTCCAGAAAACATGGTTGAAGTGTAAGTGCTACCCTTGAATGGGGCCTCCAAGGATGATGGGCCTCACTGACCACAGCTGTTCTATATCATTTCTGAACCTTCTCTCATTCAACCAGGGACTAGCCAGCTGTTTCTCTTGTTTCCATTCCAAAAAATTCTGACTCAAACAGCTCTCAAAGTTGACACAACATAAACTCCTGCAGCGTTACTTATAGATACAGAATATTAGAACTTAAGAGAAATGAAGAAACACTTTGCAGGCTGTGTCATATCTGTCTCTTGGACACAATTTTTACTGATGGACACCCCTAACACACCCATCCTTTCCTACGGCACCGAATGATGCAAATACCGCAGCTGCAATGCCTACTTGTTCACCTACTCCCCAAAGAGACTCCAAACACTCTCAAAGCGTGAATCATTTACCTGTACTTCAGTCAGTTTGGTATACTGTATTCACTGCTTTTCATGTAGTCTCCACTAGATTAGAGAGATCAAATTGAGATAGGCAGATTTTTAATCAGTAAGGGAATCAAGAGTTATGGGGATAAAGACGAAGTGCGGTTGAGAATGATCAGATCAGCTAATACCATTGAATAGTGGATCAGATTTGATAAGCCAAATGGCTTACCTCTGCTCCTAATTCTTATGGTCTTATTAATGCAGACTGGGTGACTGCTTCATGGGATAATTCTTCTGTTCAATCTGCAAGTGGGGGACCCTTAGCTTCCTCTTATTTATTTCAATTTTCCACCTTCCTCCCATTCAGCCCTTTCCATCTAGGCTCAGTTGCATTGTTCCAACATTGGAATCACAGACCCATGGTCTCGACACTGCATTCACCAAGTTTAGATTGTATCCTCCAGTCCCATTTTATTGTGTGTTTCTTAACTGTCTTAGTTTCTCTCCTCATTTCCTTGACTTGCTTTCGGAAGGCAGCTAATTGCAATTTACACTTGCTGTAGACATGTCCAGGGGAAATAGTGGCAATAGTTTTGTCATTGGACAAATAATCAAGGGACCCAGGTTAACATTCTTTTCCAATGAAAGCATTCACAATCATATACACAACATCTACCAAGATTTTGCCCACTCACCTAACTTGTCTATATCATTCATATCATTCCTCAGTACTTGCCTTCCCACCTAGGGATATGGGCCAAATGCAGGCAAGTAGGACTTGTTTAGTTTGGGAAACTTGGTCAGCATGGACGAGTTGGACTGAAGGATCTATTTCTGTG